CACGGTTTTCCTGTGGGTAAACACAGACCCTGCCTCCCCTGGCCGCATCTTGACAACTGGAAGCCGGTTTCCCTTTGCCTTTTGGTAAAAATTTGGTGACGCCTTATCTTTTGGAATAAATGGCTCACCCCTGATTTCTCCTCTCTTCCTGCACCCCCACCCCCCTCACACTTGGCAGGGAGGGACCCCTGGGTGCCCAGCCGACCATTGGCTTGACTTGGCTTGGCTTTCACAGGGCTGCCTCTGAGGAAAGGAGGATGGCGTTCAGCAAAGGCTTCCGAGTCTACCACAAGCTGGACCCCCCACCCTTCAGCCTCATAGTGGAAACGCGGCATAAGGAAGAATGTCTCATGTTCGAGTCTGGGGCTGTGGCCGTGCTCTGTAAGTCACGTGTTTTAACCTCACCGATTATGATCTCTGTTTTGGTTCGTAACAGTTTATAAAAAAGAAAGAAAATCCTTGGAAGCCTTCAGACCGAATTTTATCTGATGGATTTATTCTTTGCTTTAATTGGAAAGAACCCTTATTTCCTGTAAACTCAGACTTAGGTTTTTGTTTGGGGAGGTGCAGATTTTGCGGATAGGATTTTGCTTTCTCTGTGTTCTGCTTCTAGAATTGTATCTTTTTGTAGAATATTGTTGCAGTTACGTCTTACCGCATTAACCCAATAGGACAGCTTGCTTGATAGCTGTAATGCATAGAATTTTGCAGGTCAGTTTTAGTAGTAATGATATTATGTTACAGATTTTTGTGTATCTTATGTCAAATCCTTACTTATTTTTGTTTGTATGTATGTATGTATGTATGTATGTATGTATGTATATTGGTGTGCCTCGTGAGCATGTGTGAGATTCAGATCAGGCCCAGGCTGCTACTGAAGGACTTGCGTGTGCATGAGTGATGTTGGTGCTCTACTACTGATCACTTCTACAGCCTACGAGTTTATATTTTTCAGTAAAAATTGCAGTTTGTAAAAATTGCATATGAGATGAGTGATTGGTTTCATTTTGTTTAAAAATGACTGATTTTTAAAGAAAAGTTCTATTTACTGTACCTCTTATTGTACACACACATACACACACACACACACACACACACACACACACACGCACGCACGCACGCACGCACGCACGCACGCACGCACGCACGCACGCACGCACGCACGCACGCACGCACGCACGCACGCACGCACACACACACGCACGCACGCACGCACGCACGCACGCACGCACGCACGAGCAAAGGCAAAAAATGTTTGGGTTAATTTGTGGCAGATGGATGAAAATGAAAACTACTAATTAACATGCTTTTATGCTATAATTTTTTACATTTATTTATTTGTGTATGAGTGGGGTACGTGTGGAAGTCAGAGGTAGCTTGTGGGAGTAGGTTCTCTCCTCCTTCTATATATGTTCCAGGGACAGAACTCAGGTCTTTAGGCTTGGTGGTAAATGCTTTTTACCTGCAGAGACATCTCAGTGTACCCCATGCTTCAGTCATTCAGTGGGGCAGATAACCCCAGTTTGGGGTTGTCCCAGGTATGGTGTTTTTAAAACAGATTTTCTAATGAGAACTATTTGTTCTTGAGTTTTTTAAAGCAGTGTTATAACCTGACCTGCCCCCCTCCCCCCTATGATACAGCCAAAGCCATTGAATTCCAAATCCCCCTACCTTCATATTCAGAGTGCGGGCAGTACAGGCATGCTCCCGTGCTAGGTTCATTCGGTGCAGGGTTGGAACGCAGGGCTTCATGCATCTTAGGCAAGCACTCTGCTAACGGAGCTGCATCCCTAGCCTTCTTGGCTCCATTTTCTCAGATTGTGTATTGATCATACTTTTATAAGTTAAAACTGTTGTTTAGGCTGGAGATGCTCAGTTGACAAATGCCTGCCATGTAAGCTGGGGATCCCCAGAACCCTCACGGAAGACAGCCTGGCATGCTCTGCATGAGCTGGAACGTGAACATTGCTAGAACTGGATGTCAACCTCTGGCCTACATGCATACGCTGTGTGTGAATATTTAATAAATATATAATATATAATAAAGGAAGACACCTGATGTCAACCTCTGGCCTACATGCATACTCACACACATATATATATATGCGTGTGTGTGCATTATATAATGTATATTATATATTACTGTGTATATATATAAACGCACATGTATACACACAATAATGTTTGAAAAACAATATAAGCCATAAATATTTTAATTATTACTCTTTCTTTAGACTCAGTAGGTAAAGAGCATAATGTCCTACCCTATGTATAAAAGATTTTCATATTGGCTCAGGTGTAACCTGACTAAAATAGTAAAATTTTATCCTGGTAGGAAAAATAATAGTGACATAATGAACAACTCCTAAGCAAAGGTCAGTATAACACACGAGCACGCCGCGCGCGCGCGCGCACGCACGCACACACACACACACACACACACACACACACACACACACACGTGCGCGCACACGTATTTCTGTTGCATACAGTACCATGGTTTGAAGGGAGAAGCAAGGAGTGAGATACATCCCGAGAAAAAGGTTAAGTAATATTCAATATGAACGTCACTGCTCAAAATTGTTCCTTATGGTTTGTTTGTGTAATAGCCCTAGCTGTCCTGGAACTAGTTCTGTAGACCAGGCTGGCATTGAACTCACAAAGATCCGCCTGCCTCAGCCTCCCAAGTGCTGGGATTAAAGGCATGTGCCACTACTACCTGGTGGTTTTTATGATTTAATAAAATGAAAATGCCATGCTCCAGCATCATGCTCCAGTGTTAATCCACACAGAATACATTTTCATACTATAGATGTACTTACACTAATGAAAGCTGAAATAAAAAGATGAGAATGAAGGGCTTTGGTTAGTCTAGTATGAATAATAAAAACCTAGAGACATATACTGGTGTTCAAACTTCAAGGTGAAGATCAGAAAAACAAAACAGCCAGCCACTAGCTCTTATCTCAGACTGAAAGGGTGGTCCTGTCTCCACGAGTCCTCAGTGTGGCTGGAGACTGAATGCTGAATACTAAGTACTGAATACCCGAATGAGACCCTGAGCTCCTGTCTTACATTCCTCTCTTATGCTAGGATTAAAGGTGTGCACCACCACTGCCTGGCCTCTGTGGCTGTGGCTAGCTTTGCATTCTGATCTTCAGGCAAGCTTTATTAGATCATAAACAATATATCATCACAGGTTAGTAATATAAAATGTTTTTCAACTGATTGTGTTTTGGTTGACATTGCCTGATTTATTAATGTCTAAATTCTAGTATATTTTTAAATTGTGGTTACTTGTAATTGCAATGGGAAGTTACTGTGGAGCTTATAAATTATGAATTACCTGTAGTTTTTCAGAGTTATTGCTGTATGTTAAGATTAGAAAATCTAAGAATAATCATACTTCTAAAACCTCTAGTAGTTATCTTTTATGCCAAATAATGGCTGTTAAAAGGGTTTAAAACATCCTTTTGGGGCATTAATTATGAGGCGGAATAATATCAAAGCATTATCTTAACTATATGTTTATTTTCACTGCTTGGAATTGAAACTAAGTACTGCATATTAAGCAAGCCCTCCACCAGCCAGAGCTTGTTTCTTAATTTTGTCTTCATTGGATTTAAGCTATGTAAGTAATTCTCAGAGGACTGAAAAGTTTGAATACTTCTCTCTGTAAAGTTAACATAAATGGATACATACTTTCTTTTCTATAAACTCTACAGTAACACTTAAAATATATTTTGAGTTTTAATTGATATATAGAAACATAAAAATTTCACATATAGTTACAACACATGATGTTTCAACACATTTATACATTAAAAACATGCAAAACCCTTTCTTCTAATTCTTATAGAACATTGTTACCTGTAAGTACCCTACTGTGTAATAATAAGATATTAATCTTTAAGAGCTAGCTTTTTTCTTTTTATATAAACTGCCTTGTAAAATTAGGTGCTTGTATTAATGTTACATATCTGTAACCTCAGCACTCAGGAGGCAGAAGCAGAAAGATTTTGTATTTGAGACTCTCCGGGGCTGCATAGTGATAGCTTGTCACACAACAAGTTTAATTTGGCATTTGGTAGTACTAAGATAGATGTTGTCCTGTATAACATTTGGCTTTTAGAACAACCTGCAGAATTTTGAATGCCTGCTGCATTCAGGGAACTGTCTCAAAGATCTGGGCTCATTCTCTTCATCCTTACTGTTCCCAGCCTCTGGATTTCAGGGCATCCTGCCTATCAATCTGCAAGAAATGACTTCTAAAGTCATTTTGATAGTACATCAAAGAGTGGCCCTATTTTCTTAAGATGAAATTCCAACTCCTCAGCCTGTTCCTTAAGGTCTTCCTTAAGCTCACTGCTCTCTTTCTGTTATGGGGTGACCTCCTTCCGTGAGATGGTGTCAGTGTCCTCCCAAGTGTTAGGACTCACCATTCTTCATGTGCCCTCTTAGGCTTGTACCAACTTAATCAGTCATTGATCTTTTAGGTGGTTTGTTGTTTTAGGTCTTTTTCTGACAGGATCTCTCATAGCTTAGGCTAGTCTCAAACTTGCTGTGTAGCTGAAGATGACCTACAACTTTTGGTCCCCCAAAGTGCTAAGCCAGTGTGTCCTAGTCTGAGTCAGTGGCTTTCTGTGCCTCAGCTGCACATTGTAATCATCTGGAAAGATGCCTTGGACAGTATAAGTAGCAAGTATGGGTGCTTGGTCTGTTACAGCAGTGCACTTTTTTCCATAAATGAATTAATTAAGGATAAAAAAAGATTAATGCTTTTTGTGTGGTTCAGTGTTTTTAGTGTGTGTGAGTGACACACATATCTCCCCACCCAAAACAGCCTTCATAGGAGGACAAGCTGTCAGGTAGACATGCCTTGAATTTACAGCCTTGTGGTTTATAGTCCATCTCATGCTTCAGTACATAAATAATCCACTTCACAACTGTATTTTAAATAGAATATGAAGGCGAAAGGTCACTTAGTGTATGTGAAGTCTTCAGTTCAATTCCCAACATTGTAAAAACATAAACACTAAATATAAAGCAAGCAAACAAAACCCAATGTGATGATATACATTGTAACTCTTAAAAGTAAAGCCTTTGGCCGGCGGTGCATGCCTTTAATCCCAGCACTGGGGAGGCAGAGGCAGCCAGATCTATGTGAGTTCGAGACCAGCCTGGTCTACAAGAGCTAGTTCCAGGACAGCCTCCAAAGCCACAGAGAAACCCTGTCTCAAAAAACAAAAAACAACAACAACAAAAAAGTAAAGCCTTTGCTTCTTTTTATATCACATGTTAGTATAATGATAAAGATAAATCACCTTTTATCTTTCCAATGGTATAATTTTCAGCATTTTAAAATAGCATAATTTGGGTCA